TGTCGGCGCATTTCCAGAGAAAATAAAATTAACCCATTGTTTCTTCAGAGGCTCGGATGAAGGAACTAAAAAATACTTTTGTGTTCATTTGTACATCCGAACACTGATCAACTGCCATGCTTCGCTTGTTTGCAAGCCATGATATCTCTCGAGGAAAAACTCAAATCACGCTTGCGCGTTCGTACTTCCTAGCTCATTTTCTCATGGGCGAGCCAAATTCTCTGGGCGGGCAAAGCAGAGAAAGGGGAGGTTACCTTTCCTCCGTATGACGTCATACGGAGGAGATTCAAGATCAGCCCGTCTGAGCTTTCATTTTCTCAAAGGCAGAGAAAGATAGCCAAAGCTCGGTTTACACCGATTACAATTTCTAGCCACTGGGGGACCATATACAGGCTAGGGGAACTCATATTACTGTTAAAAAACCTCAGAAAGTGAAAATTTCATGTCAGGGGACCTTTAACAAGTACAGTATCAATGTGAAAAATGTACTTGCCCTGCATTTTACTAAGCAAAACAGGTATTCAAGAAATAAATTAAAACAAATAAATAAAGTAAAATATAAAAATTAATCAAATAAAAGGGAAAATAAATAATAATAATAAAATAAATAGAATAGAAATTGCAGATTATAATTAACGAATAATGAAGAATTACAAAATTACTAGGGCTGTGAAAATTAACATTAATTTTGCGCTTTTTTTCTTCATCATAACGCATTAAAAATACTACTTTTTCGTCTTCCTTTGGTTAGCATTATATGATCATGCTCTTATTCATGCAAATGCTTTTAAACCATTCAAGTGCGATAAGACACAAAAGAGAACGTAGTGCTGTACTGGCTGCGTCTGTGAATCTCCTATCTGTGTGACACACACAGACGAATTGTGCGTGCAGAAAGCCGCTTCAGACAGTGCACGCAAGTTTATGCCAACATGCCCGTTTTGGTTGAGTATCCTCGAAAGCACAGTCATATATATATATTTACACTTGTGTTTATCCTCTGATAACTTAACAACATTTTCAGTAAACAAATACACTGAGAAACCCATGATCATTAGCTTTTACAGTGCATTCTGGGAATTTCTAGGGTGCAAAATTAAGTTCACTGGAACAATTTTGACAGTGAGAGCATTATAAATTTAGAACTCCCTGTTAGTGTATTTGCTTCTGAATTAAGGAACAGGTTGAGAATAGCAAACAAATCATGTCATGCACAAAATACATATGCACTATAATGTAAAATTAAAGCCTTCTTGTAGCTCAAACAGTAGAGCGTAAAAATGCCATGGTCATGAATATGATTCCCAGGGAAACTAATAAAACGTTTACCTTGAAAGCAATGCAAGTCACTTTGGATAAAAATGTCTGCAAAATTCTTTCATGTAAAATGTATGTAAATGTAGAGTAATGTAATGTAAAGTTATCAGAGGCAAGAAATGACCAAAGCTGCATCCTAAACCTGACTTACAACATGCCACATTAAAGTACACAAAACATAATACAGGACACACATGGAATTCCCAGAACCCACAAATGAGGCATCACCATCAACTGAAGCCTTCTAAAATTACAGCGGTTTAGCATTTAGCGCTCCTGTTTCCCGTAAATTTGTTTACATACACTATGAGTCAATCTCAAACTACAAGCGTACATGCAGGCCAAGGGGTTTCAAAATAAACTTTTTGACTGAGCATCAAGAGAGAGTTATGCCATTAAATCTTCCACATAAGCACTCCACGCTATTAAAATCATACTAGAGAGACAATTTTGAGGGTATTATTAATATAATAACAGATATGGGTTTTTCCCAGAAAGCATCAGACCCAGCAGTTTGCACTTCATTTCCTGCAGACAAGAATATGATCGAGTAACGCTTAGCACACGCAGGGTCTCTTAAGCATAAACCATCAATTATATTCCATTTCATTTTGCTTTCATTTTCATTCTGAAGACAGGATGTAATATAAACCTGTTTGCAAAATCACTGCACAATATGCTTACTTTAATAAAGCATTACTTCCTGCAATTAAGCAGATGCAAAAAGATAATATAGATTATGTATAGTTATAATATCAGATAATTAAATTCAACTCCATCTGCATCAGAACCAGTTTGTGACACACACACTTTGTGGCCGGGCCAAAACCAATTTATCTAAACTTTTGCAGCTGCACGAATGAAAGGGCACTAACTAGAATGTAAAACACCATCCAAAACAGCCTTCTACTGTATATAGCTAACACAAGGACCAAGCTCACACTTCTCCTTTTTTTAACTCTTCCTTAATCCCAGCACAGGATCTGGGTTCCAATTGACAGGATCCCTACGAAGTCTTTGGCCCTGTTTACACCTGGTATTAAGATACGTTTTGGCCGATCGGATCACAAGTAGATGAAGGAGACACATCCTAGTTTTAAGAAAATACACGGAGAGCAGCAGCTTTCGTTTCTGCACTGATAGCTTCAAGACCAAGACGAACGCTGTGAGTGTGTGTTAGAAAATCAGGAATGGTAAGAGAACATTGTGTTGGTACATTTCCCATTATGTTTATGTTTACGCATTACGAGTTCAAAAATGGTGCAAAAGCACCATAAAGTATCAAAATATATGAGCATATGACTTTATCTTATGCTTTGAGAAGCTAAACAATAGCTTTGTGTGACAAACAATCTAAAATTGAAGTTATTATGCACTGAAATTCATGCTTTTGCATGAAATCATGAAAGCTCCAGTTTCCATTGATTGTAATTAAAAGTAAAAGATAGCATAGCACATTTCTTTAAAAAGTCTTGTTCTGTATTCCAAAGAAGTAATACAGATTTGGAACAACATGAGAGGTATTAAATTATGACAGAATTGTCAATTTGTAACTTTTTGGGTAAATTATCCATTTAATTACCCATGGTTCTGCAGTCTGCACACCCCCTTTAAGAGGGTGCAAACCCTAAATGATTTTCATCGATGGTCGTGCCTCTGGAGGACAGCTATAAATACACCAGCAGGCAACAGTGCAGATTAAAAGCAGACAATGAGCAACAGGAAGCGATTTTGAGGAAAGGTCAGGCTAAGATTGCATGGGCGGAGGTAGGCAGGGTGGCTGTTGATGAGAGCTACCCCTAGTTTTGTAGCCCCTCTGCAGGCACCAGTTACAGGCGATTCCTTTGGATATACACACATAGAGAGCCAAGATATGTGCTAGAAAAAGTCAAAGAATGAAAATGTCCCATTATTTTCATTTTGTCTATTGTGCTGCTTAATATATTGCTTGTCCCAAGAATTAACTCTCAGATTAACCTCTGAACAGAAGTCGTGCCTGAGTCTTCTACAAGGACAGGAGGGTGTGTGCTTAAAAAGGATATTGCGTTTCCTTGTAGTTACAAACTCATTCTGAGAACCAGTACTCTCCTTCCTTAAATAATTACACATATTACTCAACTTTTCATCTTTGGTCTGTATTGCCCTGTGAACTGGTTTGGTTGTGGCAGGAAGAAATTCATAAGTTATTTACTAGGCACTTACATAAAGGGATAGTCAACCAAAAAAAACAAAAACAAAAATCCTTTTATCATTTACTCACCATCAAGTTGTTCCAAACTGTTTTTTGAAGATATTTTGAAGAATATGGTTAACAGTTGCTGGTCCCCATTGACTTCCATAGTATGAAAAAAATAATCTATGGAAGTCAATGGGGACCAGAAACTGTTTGGTAACCAACATTCTTCAAAATATCTTCTTTTGTGTTGTTCAACAGAACAAAGAAACTCATACAGGTTTGGAACAACTTGAGGGTGAGTAAATTATGACAGAATTTCCATTTTTGGGTGAAGCATCTCTTTACTTTACTATATTATATCTATAGGTTCAGTGCCTATAGGTTTATACATGGAGTGAAGCAAACACCTGTGTTGGGAATTTCTCAAGACACACAAACTGACATGAATTAAATCTTGAGCATTTAAGTCAGCTTATCCCTTAAGTAGAGCGATGTTCCCTTAGTGTACATCTTAAATTCTTTGCCAAAAGCTGTCCCTTATTCCCCTTGAACTGTCACACGGGAATCTAAAAAAATGTTACCTCTCCATCCTAACAAACCTGACAGGTAAAACACTTTAAAGGTACACTCTATAAGTTTTGGTTTAGGTTTAGTCAGTTCTTGTTACAATGGGCAAAATGATCATTGTTATGCTATTTGTCCACTCATTCTATTTGATAAATTGTAAACATGCTGATCCATACCATCCCTCTTTAGCTGTTATATTGCACTTTTATGTTTATTTTTTGTAAAGCATTTTATACAGTAAACCAACACACTCTCATGGCAATCCATAACTATTTTACATGTCTGCAAATTGGTGAATAATTCATACAATCTAATTTTTTACATTTTCGTACAATCAGTTAGGGTTAGGGGTAGATCTTCATGCTTACCTTTTTGTCTAAAAATCACACATTTCCTTGCAAATTCATACAAAATCGCAGTTCTGTAAAATAGTTACGTTTTCTCAGGGGATTAAGTTGACTAAACATATTAATATTGTCAGTAGGCCGTTGTCAGTAGGTGACGTAAGTCGTGATTAAGAGCATGTCACATTCAAAATGTGACTTGAGAGAGAGCACTCATGTCCAATTTTTTAACTAGGAAACTAGTATTTACAATTATTCCGAAGGCAAGTGAAGGCAACATTACTGGAAGTAAATTGGTCAATTGCACGCCACAGCTGGTCATGTGACATCAACATGGCGGCACCCATGAGGGGGAGACCAGCTCTGTGTGGAATAACAGCTTTTTTTCTATTAGTCTGATGTATCTCGAGTCTTCATCTTATGAGAGTGTACATAATTTTAATTATACTTCCCAAATAGGCATTCTTTTTTTGTAACTTTTTTATTTGCACATTACTTTTAAAGCGCACTTTCGAAGTCAAAATTAAAGTCGTCCGCAGCAACAAACGATCAACTTTCATTTACAGAAGTTGGTACAATGTGATTTAATCACTTACCAAACAACACCGAAAGCTCCGTATCCGATCGGTCTGTCCGGCTCTATATCCAGCTGTTGCTGTAAGTGATGCGAGTGGTGGTGGTGATGATGATGCGCCTTCACGGCGGCGGCTTGAACTTGCGCCGGGGCTGTAGCGGCCGCCGGCCCCGGAGCTTGACCAGGAGCGGGCGAGGGGAAGTACGGCTGCTGCTGGCTCGGGTTCAGCATCACCGCCGCCGCGGCAGCAGCAGCAGCAGCTGCGGCCGTGGAAGCGTGCTGCTGTACGGGGTGCACGGCGGCGGCCGAGCCGGGGTGCTGGAGGTGATGCTGGCCCGGGTGGTGATGGTGGTGGAGGTGGGCGGGTGGCGGGAGATGGGGCAGCTGGTGGTGATGGTGCGGGTGATGCGCTGCCACTGCCGCGGTTCCGCCGTTGTACGCAGCCATCATTTTCGCGGCATTGGAAGCCGTCGTTCCGCACAGAGCCATTCACTCACTCACTCAACAGCCAGAAAATGAGAGGTGGAAAAACAAAACAAAGAGGCGAACGAGATGGAGAGGGAGGCTGCCAAGATGTCAAACTCTCATTTGGCTGTCATAGAGCCAAACGACGGGTAAAAAAAATCAAAGCATAAATGTCCGGCATAGCCTACATCAAGATGAGTGTGAAAAGGTGTCATACTAACAACTCTCCAGCTTTGATCTGACCTACTTCGGAGGATCTTTTGCGTTATACGTTCCAGACTAGCAAAATGACAATCGCGGACATCCAAGAAAAATCTCGCGAAGGATAAACAAAAGAAAAGTAAAAGAGGAGAGAGGGATTAAATCAAAATAATGCGCTCCCCCCATAATAAATCAATTCCGCACGGCCTTAAATCTCCCTCATGTTGGAGGCATGAGGAGCACCTTGCTTTGCTCTAAACTCGGGCTAGTATGGAAAGGGAAATTAGGCGAATAGTACAAGTTACGTGGGGAATGCAGCATTCATCTTTTAGATTTCCTCATATTTGCCATTTTGGGCTCATCCAGCCCTGTTTCCACCGCCAGGGCTGCATGCAGTTTGCAGAAGTTACGTGGATCAGGCCAACGTTGCTGACTTGGTACTTGCTCGCCAGCTTACTTGTTTACATTTCCATTAAAACGCACAATTCCCCCGCATGAAAAGGCTGCTGCTACACTGTATCGATCCGGAAAGCTTGTTTTGCAGTATGGCGCTCTGTTGCGCTCGAGCTCTAAGCTGTAGATGGATACCTCCAGATCCTCTCCAAATGTCAAAATCCCCTCGAAACACCCATCACGCTGATCAACGGAGCAATCCGCTTTCCTGGAAACATTCTTCCGAAGCTTTCAACTTATTTTCCCCATCGATAACGATGTGCTCGTTCACCGGCGTGCCGCGTGCTTGCTCCCAGTATCGTGGGCATGTATATCCAGTGAAGAAGAAATCAAAATAAGAACATCCAGTGTTTCTTGCAGTCATAAAACAGGCGGCCAGCGTCCTCACCCCCTCGCCGGATGGTGCTGCCAGGACCTGGGAAGGCACACGCGCAACCCTGCCGTCTTGGGTACCCGTCTAGTCCGCGTCCGATGACAGGTCTCTGAACCAATCACGTCCCGCTTCGGAAGTAGCACAGCCAATCAGCGGACGAGAGGAAGAGACGGAGGTCCAGCCATAATAAACAGGCCCTTGTTGCATGTGGAAGCTGGCGCCATTACGGCTACACGATACTGTAAAAGACAGTGACAGTCTATGGAGATCTTGAGCCGGAATGGAGAGCGAGGGGCCCCACTTACCCAGAGCTATTACGCGAACATGCCATCCAATTAGCACCTGCCATTGAAGTGAGTCCCTAGCCTGAAAGGAGAGCCATGATTCGCTGTCCAATCGTTTTTCAAATCGAAGAAAAATGCACAGTAACAAGGACTGTCAAACATTATACAATGTACAGTATAGAAATATATTATACAGTTTACAAAGTTTATAGTTTGTTGTTACAGTGCATTGAAATACGTTTTTTTTACTTATGAAAGATAAAGTGTAAAGTTTAATTTCGCAGCCCATAGGCCTATCATGAGAATAGTTCATAAATATATATTTTTTTCATAATGATTCAGTCAGAATGCGTTTTATTTTATTTTTTTATTTTTTATTTTGTAGGATACTTTATCATAAAAAAATCAGTTTCTCACCATTAAGTTCAACATCTAGCAAATCTGTAGAAATGTTAAGTGACATATTTTTGTTGTTGTTGTTTTTTAAGAACAATGGCATTTTGCCTAAATGTCAGGACAGGTGAGGATGTCATATGTTTAAAATGTTATAATTTATTCATTTCAGTTGCTATTGGCCAAAAACGATATATATATTTGTATACCTTTTCCATCTTTGGGCAGAGCGTGCCCCACTATTTGGTCATGTGTATCTCTTTTTTCTCTCTTCTAGTCAACAGATTATTTTGCAGATGTTAAGGTATGTGCCTAAACATCAATTAACATTCTGAGAAATATTCATGGTAAAACAAAGTGTGACATTTAGCCCCGGCCTTTATTATTAAAACATTAGGTAACATAATTGAATAAGCTCTAAACAATTCATGTAGGGTACATTTTACATGCATTTTTCCTTTCTTTCTTTCTTTTTTTAAGAGTAGGTTTGTTTGTGTGACTGGAAAACTTAATCAAGTTAACTTGAGCAGTTTAGAGTCTACAGCTGTACATTCCACACCTTTGACCTCAACTCTTATGTGTTTGCATAAGGATAAATGCTTCATCTCAGCAGGATCTCACACTCACAGCACTGGCAGTGTACTGAAGCATGCAGGTGTTTATTTGGGATGCTCTGTTTAAGCATTAAATCAACCATGGGTCCACTGAAATGCAGAATCTTTGATTCATTCTCAACAATTATAACGTGGTAGTGGACCTTATAGACCTTGTTTAATCTACTTTCAAAATGATTTGGTACATCGGTGTTACATTATGATGCATAAATATGTAATTGTTGCAATTTCCTGGAATTTAACGAAGACATTAAAGTTTGAAACTAAACCAAATTGATTAGCTGTAGAATCTTCCAGACAGAATGAATGCAGTAGGCTATAGGCCTACGTGTCTAATTATCCACTGGAAATATTTTAAACAGAATAATTAATCTCCTGCTCAGGTCCAAAATAAACATGGTGTCCTCCTTTAAGTGCAGGCCTAGTTCTTATGGATGTGTGGGACGTGCTCTACATCGAGTCCGCGAGGATACTAACATTCCCAGAACTGAATCAGGCCTCATTGATTTGGACATTTTCCCCACTGAAAATTAAATGTAGCAGCTGCAATGTCTTAATCAATAATGGCAAGGCATCATCCACAATGCCTTACATCTTTTCATTTAAAATGCTGTGCTGAATTTGCTCGTGCACACATGTAATCTACATAAATAAATCACCCAGTTGGTATTGGTCTGGTTAGAATCCTGAAAACGTAGCTTTTCATGAAAGCAACGACATGATTTGTTCAAATTAAATTGAGCTTTGAATATAATTAAAGGGACAATGTGTACTTTTTAATGTATTTTATTATTTATAGGTCCACTGAGGCTTCCATGTAGTTCCGCCATCTTGAAAAACTATAATAGCAGAGAGGGACAAAAAGTACTAGGCCAACGCGTTTCCACAGCGCATTTTCGTTCAGAGCCAGCGGCAGAAGCAGAGGAGCAGAGCAGTGAGAGGCGCTTGTCACTGCCCCGGCAAGTTTAAAAGGCTGCATTGCAAATCCTCGTCGCCAGAAAAGTCTAAAATAGATCGTAAAAGGAAACGTGACCGGAGATTACAAAAAACACGAGTTAATGTCGGGATAGCTTTTTCCAGGTGGATAGAGCTAAATGCAGGATAAAGATTTCAAAAGAGACGCTGAAGTTGCCTGCTTTCTTCTCGACAGGTAAGTCAGTGTTACAGTCTTAACAAACTTTTTTTCATTGTTTGGTTGTGTACTTTATTTTATAGACAGATGAACATTTATAGTTAAAAGTTGATGATGATATCTAACAATGCACGCACTTCAGAAAATATAACGAATAAAGAAGGCATAACTACTTATTACAATAGTTCATGTTTTTCACAGTCAGTTTTCACAAAGGAGCATTTGACGAAGTGCTATTAGAAGACATCCTGTCATAGCTTTTTGGTACATAATGGCTACCGTAGATGCAACGCGCATTTGAAAAAGCGAGGCGCTGGAGAACACAATTCGTTTGAATGCAAAATACATTTTCACCGCTAGATGGGAGAAATTCCTACACATTGTCCCTTTAATGCAAGATTTTAATTATAATCTATTATGATAATGCCCATATTCTGCATCTTGTCTTAGTCATCTTCCTCAGCTCTTCATCTTTTCATCAGGCAGTGTATTGCACATGAAAACTTCCAGAGATTTGATTCATTCTCGACCACAACGTGCATGAATTAATTGAATATCTGTCTGTTCAACAATTCATCCATGACCCTGAAAGCTTCACAGTACAATATATTTGTGTTATATATTAATATATTAAGTTAACACTGTAAAATAGAAAGAAATTCAGCTAATTTTCATATCATTTTATTTGTTGTATCTCTTCAAAATCAGACTTTATTGTCAATGCAAACGAATAGATCTAAACAAGACACTAAAAATCAAGTTCATTTCATAATATGCTGCTAGAAAGAGTCTGTTCTCAGCTGCCTGGAACTATGTGGTTTTCCATAACCATTGGATTATCATGAATATTTATGGTTGAGAGTACAGCATATGAGCGCTGATAAACTGAATTAAAGGACATATAGTGGAACCTTGCTTATTATTACTATACAGATGAAGATATATCAATTTCTTAGGCTGCATGCTGCTATTAACATTGTCAACTCAGTTATCGGCTACATTTATGAATGAAACATGTCCAGCTTTCACAGCAAAAAAGCTTTTCCTGATATATTTCTTTTGTAATACACTTCACGACTATAAACGTAGAGATCGACGAACGCATGGTTGTTCCTAAGTGAACGCATCTCAGCCTGAAATAACTTTTAGGCTGGCAGGTTATTAATGAAGTAATGAAGGAGGGAGATAAGAAGCGTTTTGTCACACCAGCAGGAGTGATATTACCCAGCATCCATATACTGTAGGATGCTGTACAATTCAAAAGTAGCTTAAATTTGACTCGCTGTTGGGCTCCCAACCAAATATAAATTCCAAATCGCAATAGGCCTATGTGTGATTTTTTCAGGGAGTGATTTAAAGTGTAATATTTGCTTTTATTGTAATGGAATCCAAAATATATGTACTGAGACAATAGTTTAACAGGGCATTTATTTCCTGATAGCACTAATATGCTGACGGATATGTATTTTCATTTAAAATATTATGTCTGTAAACCATTCTGTAAAGTGTAAGGACATTCAGTGGATGCCTTAAGACATTTATGATATGTGATTTTGCTTTTTAATGATGCACTAACAGACATATGTGTGCTTGGTTTTATGCTTTTAATTTGGCATTTGTGGTTTAAATAAACCACATTATGTACGCACCATGGTTAAATGCATTAAACTGCCTTTAAGTGCAAAAAGCAAGCTTTTGTGTCCATGGGTTTTGATAAGAGCTTCACAACCCATTTTGGACATTCTGCATGCATAAGATATCTGATGTTTGCACATGCCAAGAAAATGTCTTCCTGTGTGCGTTTGCAAGCACAATGCAACAAACAGCTTCACCCATAGATAGAGTTTTTTTTATTGTATTCTGACGAAATTGTCCATTCTGTCCAAAAAAATAAATAAATATGGTGCAAGTATTTTGTAATTATATACTATTAATACAAAGAGGTAACGAGTTGTATGCTTATAGTAATAGTAAGCTTAGTTCAGCTTATGTTTTACTGAGGTCTTAGACATTATACGGACACCTACTAGCACGGATGCAAAGTTGTCCGATGCCATTGTAGAAATACTCTGTTAATAGGTATATTTTTGGGTGCATGGTTCCTTTATTCTGCATAATACATAATTAAAAAAACTTTTTGTTACTGAGTGCAAGGTTTGACATATTGACTGAGATAAGAGTGCAAAACAGTGCCTGATGATGTCATCAATATGGCCCATAATTTGCTACACCACACATGATCAATAATTCAATAACATGCATTTTTCAGTTTGATCAGCTATCAGACACATATAGAGATTCGAATAACTGATGAAAGAATAAAGGATGCAATAGAAAAACATCATTGCACTTTTGACCATATGCCGTACTAAGCTTGTACCCACATAAATCTAATGTGGACACTGATTCAGCCTTATTCTCTTACTTCAAGGATTTAGTGAATGGTCGAGGATAACCCAGACGTGTGGATCTGCACAGAGAATCGGTGTCCTAATTAGGCCCTGGCATTGACAGTGAGCACTGCTTGGGGCACTGCGGAGGGGAAGCTGCAGGAATGTAGTGCTGAACAACTCCAGGCAGAATGTAAGTGGAGCAGAAAACAGATGGTCCTGAGCATGCGAAAGAAAACACAGAGAAGCACAGTAGATATAATCGTCGATATAATATAAGTTGGTGCATCATGAATAGG